CCTCCCGCCCCGCTACTTGGCCTGGCTTGTGGTGCCACAGCCCCCCCCCCTCACCGGTGAGAGGGAGCGAAGGTCTGTCATGGGAACAGCCCCCTTCCCAGCCTTGGTGCTGTGATCCTGAAAGAAGAGCAGATGGGTGCGTTGGCTTGGATGCAACCCAGGGGCAAACGCGGCAGGTCGCCCTCCGCAGACATCCCTGGTGGGGCAGGGGCCCCCAGCCCCGCCGGCTCTGGTCCCCCTCCCCGGAGCAGAGGGACCGCAGGGGACAGCAGCTCCCCCACCTCTCGAGGGGCCAGCCCTGCTTACTGAGGTTGCCAGTGCTGTCTCTGCAGTGCCAGCGCGAGCAGTGGCTGCGGCGTCCCTGCTGCCCTCCGCCTGCCAAAGGAAACCGGGTGAGCCTGGAGGTGCCAGGGAGGGGGTGACACTCGCAGGGATGGTGTGGCCATCCTTGCTGCCAGAGGAAGCCGGGGAGGGCCATGGAGCCACGGACACGCACAGTGCAGTGCGTATGGTGGCTGTCACCCTCTGCAGATGTCCCCATGTGCCAGCGCTGCCCAATGGCGTGGCAGATGGGGCCGGGGACACACACAGAATATCTCTGGGTGGGCTTTGGTTTGATGTTTTGGGGACTCCAGCAAGACAAGGGTGAGCAGAGGCCCCCAACTGCCCCACTCAGCCACCTGCCCCCCCAGCGCTGCTGCCTGCAGACAGGTTTTGCTGGACTGAGGCTCGGCAGGGCCACAGGAGGACGGAGCCACCATGTCACCTGGGCTGCGTCCGTGGTGCCGACCCGGTGGGGAGTGGAGCCATCCGCTTCGGCCTTCTTCACGCCTGGCCCCAGGCTGGCGGTCACAGCATCCATTTTCGGGGCTGATGGCTGCAGAAGAAATGGAGCAAGTCAGGCGCTGAGACACAATGCCAACAGCCCTGAGTGCTCCTTGTGCACCGGCCCCCGCGAGCACAGCATCCCTGCCCCGCTCCTCTGCAAGGGCCACACATGTGTGATGTCCCACAAGTGTCACGCTGGGCCAAAGAGCAGAGGCCAGGCTGCTGCCCTGGGCAGACAGCCACCATACAAAGTGTCCTGTGAGACTGACATACCCCAAATCAGACCTCATGCTCTGTCCCTGGGGTTTTCAGGGATTTTTGGGATAAATTTATAGACACCATGGGTTAGGTCAAACTGGTCTTCAAAAGGTGGGTGGGACCCACCAAATCCATTTCACTCACACCCCGCAGCAGGTTCATGGTCTGCACCAGCTCCCGGTGGCTGTGGTTACACCCAGGGTGTCAGAACCTCGGGGGAATGGAGACAGGTTTCCAGCACTCCCCTGCTGCAGGAAACTGGAGCTGCCAAGGGCTCTTCCTGCACAGGGGATGCTCACCCAGCGCTCTACTCCGGAGCCAATGGCCTCCCCTGCCCAGTGCCAGCCATGGGGCACTGTGGACCTGATCACCCATGCCCACAGCCCCGCCATGACCATGGAGCCCATGGCATTGGATGCTCCAGGCTGGCTCAGAGAAAGCTCCCTCTAATTCTGCAGCTTTTGCCTGGCTCCAGGTCTGGCCTCACCCCGGCAGCTCCAGGCAGCACTGGGGACTTACCTGCCAGGGCTGGAGGACTGCTGACTGGGCAGGGAGGTGGCCCTGGCCTGGTGCAGAGGCAAGGCTACGTTTAGTCCGAGCTGGGGCTGGCTCTACCATCCTCTCCCTGTGGCACACACTCAGCTTCCACATGCATGCTGCATGCATTTTCCTCAGCCCCGTTATCATCAGTCCCAGCATGGGAACGACCCTCCACAAGCTTTGGAGTGGCTCCCACAAGCTACGCTGTAAATCCCTCCCTGCCCTGACATGACCGGAGAGGTTAGTCGGCAGCACGCTTCTATTCACTACACAAACTGGTCACTGACTTCATGCAAAACACAAGGACAGAGCCGTTGGTTAGTGACACGTGCCCTTCCCAGCTGCTGACATGCTGTAGTGGTGTGAGGGACAGGGTAGGCAGCCATATGTGGGGGATTAAGAGATAACGATGCCTTCTCCTGGTTAGCAGATGCACAAATACACGACAGAGCCATGCAACACAGACAGCGTGCATCAGGGGAAAACAGCTACACCAGACAGGAACCTGGGGTCTGAAAGCTAGCATGCTCTTCTAAACCAACGTGGGAGTGCACACCAGCGAGGCAATACGGGACACCAGGACAAGGAACATGGACGTGTGATGGCACTGAGACAGTCTCGGTGGAATGGCGTCCCTGTGTACCTCTAGCTGGGAGACATCTGGGCTGGGCTGGGAGACCTTCTCCTCGCCTTTGACATCCTCTTCCAGTCTGGGAACTACTTTGTCAGTGTGCTGGAAGGAAACCAGGCCTTCGTCTTCCGTTTCACTCTTGTCCTTGTCCAGCTCAGGCAGGCTCCGGGAGATGTCCTCAAAGGCCGTGCCGTGGAAGTCACCAATCACTGTGAAGTCCACCTCTGCTTCCAGGCTAGAGGTTGAACTGACTGTGATGCTGGAGCACTTGCGCTCGATGGCCAGGTGGTTGTCCTTCAGAAAGACCGAGTCCTTCTCCTGGTCCTGCTCCTCGTCACCGGTGTCGCTCTCAGGAGCCCTGTGCCGAGGTGGCTTAGCTTTCTCCTCGGCACCCTCCCTCAAGCCCGCTCTCTGAATGAGACACAATGGCGGAGAGAGACGGAGATGGTGAGCACCGCATGGCGCGGCAGCGCTGGCAGCGCTGGTGGGGGAGAGGGGAGGAGGAGAAAGAAGGCTGCAGCAAACATCACAGAGTAGAGTCAAACACAACTCAAGCACGGAGACTGAAACCTTTCTGACAGCAGCGACTTTGCAGGGGTGGGGGGAGAAGGGTTATTCAATCTGATTTTGCCAAAACTCTACAGGTAATTAATCATCTCAAGAAAGGGTCAGTCACACAGAAAAGCTTGGCCAGCCCGGAGGCACGTCAGTGCACCTGGTGGAAGCAGATGTATGCAAAACAACAGGTCTGTTAAGAGACATTCAGAAACAGCTCAGACGCCAGTGCTATCATATGTCAGTAAGGTTGGGCACTCAAAAAAAACCAACCAAAAAACAAACAAAGGGAAAGAAAGAGAGAAGAGGTTGAAAGAAAAGGGCCCCATGAGCCACGCACGGTGAAGGAGAAGCAAAGGAGTGTGCCAATTCCACTGAGCATCCGCGTGGGCCCTGCAGAGCATCGCCCCGGGGCGAGGAGGACCAGCCCTGCACTCTGGGGCAGCCGCCTGTGCCGGGGGCGTGAATGTGCCCCACCAACAGAACGCTCCCCTGCATGAGAGGCCTCATGGAGCCGGTGGTGAGGCTTAGGGGTGATCCGGTGGAGTGTTTGGTCAGTGTAATTGACAGCACGATCAGAGCCAAGGGATGACCTCCCTCTGCTAGCTCTTCTTCAGACATGGACATACCTCTCAACTCTGCCATCAGAGGGTACATCTCCTCTCACCATGCTTTGCTGTGAAGCCATGGGAAATCTAGACCCATGCTGGACTTTGGGAAATCTAGGCCCATTGCTGGACTTTGCAGCTCGCTCTAGGCAGTTGGCCCTTAGGAACAGCTCTAAGCCCACTGATGCCAGAGGAAACCCCGCTCCTGGACTCTGGTCCAAGCATTTGCAGCCAGAGCTATCCCCCCAATGGGCTGGGCTGTGCCGGAACAACCTCCCCTTGGCACTGCTGGGAGGTTGAGAGGTATGAGAAACAGGGTGTCAAACAAACTCAGGAGGAACACACCTGCATACATGTTTTCGTGTGTGTGTGTATGTATAAATATATACATAACAGGTCTGCGATGGGGAGAGGAGCTGGAAGCACACAGCCCTCAGCCGGTTAAGGTGAGCTTTCATACTACGGTAAGAAGCAGTTAGTAAAACAGCACTGAGACCTGGAAGACCACTGGAACAGCAGTCTTTAAATTCTCTTCTTTCAGGCTGGATTTTACTGACGGGTCAGATAAATCCTTTTCTTCCCCACTTGGTTCCTGAGATTTGCTCTGGATTAGAGAAAATGGTTAGTCGTAAGGAAATGAACTCTACAGGAGAGGATCTAGCGCTTACAAGAGCAAAGAAAGCTATTTCATCATCCAGCCACCAGCTTGCTGAAGACAAGGGAGGGTGGGTGAGGCCGGCGAGCTAAGCAAGAAGGGATATCAACATAAGAAATGCAAGGGTGAAGCTGGAAGCGTGGGAACGCTGCTGCTAGGTGTGTGTGCATGTCCGTGACAGAGTCGCAGCTCCTTCAGCCACCCCCCCCGTCTCCCTTTCTTGCTCCTGGACATGAAGCTTGGGTGCCCACTCTTGGGTTTAACGAGCGGCATTCTCCAGGGAGCCAAAATGTCGGGGAAGGTCACAAAACAAAAGCTGATGAACCAACTGGCCAGCGGGTCTGCATTCAGCAAATGAGCCTGACCACACACACATACATAAAGGACAGGGGATGCAAAGCAACTGCTGTCAGTCAATGGATGTGTGAGGAGCCACTGAACATGGTAATAAAGAGCCACACAACATGCGCATGAACTTTCCGTCCGGACAGTTCATTGGAAGAGTTACCACGGCTTCTGCCAGTGTGAGTTCACAGCCGGAGTCGGGGGAGGCCAGGTCAGCACTGTCTTCTCCTTCAAGCTCCAGGTCAACAGAAACTTCTTCCTTTAGAGAGAGAGGCTGGGAGGTGTCTCCTGAACCAGCCCCCTGCCTGAGGGCCAAGGAGCCCACATTGGATGCAGGTCCCACTGGAGTGACCGGCACCACCAGCGGTGAGGCGAGGCCTGTGTTCAAAAGCATGTCCTGTGCCAGACCTGTCTTCCCCTTTGCTTTGGCTGATGTCTCAGCTTCAGGCACATGCTCTTGTCCTTCCTGGGCTGCCCTTCGCTCCACTTCGCTTTGCTCAAACATCTTAATCTTAGAGGCCACTGAGGTTTTCCTGTAGCTCTCGCTGTCCTGCCAGCTACCTGGGGCCACTGTGACATCTCCATGCTCCTGGGACACAGCTCCTGCCCACCCGGCCACGCGTACCAATGACCCAGACTCTATTTGATGTGTCCCACTGCTCGCTTGCAGTTCTCCCCCACCTTCACAGATCAAGGTAGAGAGCCGGTACGTCTTGGTTCCTTGACACAATCCTGTGGAGGATTGGGAGTGCGGGACATCAGCAGCTTCTTTTGGAGAAGATTCATCCTGCGGTGGCTGCCCCAGAGCAAGGTCACTGTCCCTCGCAGTTTCTCCTACTGTAGAGCTCCTGCCCTGCAGATCTTGTCCCACATTAAACTCCAAGTCCCAGGGTGGCTCTTGCACTTTGGGACCTGCAATGTGGAGTAGCCCTCCAGCCATGGGACCCTCTTGGGGCAGGTGTCTTATTATGGCCTCAGTCTGTTGTTCTGGTTCTTCTGCCTTGGGAGGCAGCTCTTCCATGCAAGGGCTTCTGTCATGGGACAATTCATCCATCCCACAGCCTTCATCTCTGGTCAGCTTCCTTGATGTTGGCCCTGTGTCCTGGGAAAGCTCTTTTATCATGGGCTTCTCCTGCTGGAGCAGCTCTTCTCTGGCAGGGACTTTGCTCTGGGTTGCCCTCGCTGTGACAGGGTCGATGTCCTGGACTACCTCCCCTGTGGCTGGGTCTCTGACCTGCATCAGCTCTGCCGCAGCGTCTGTGTTTTCAGGTGGTCCTTCTGCAACAGGACTTGCACCTTGGTGTGGTTTCCACATAGCAAAGCCCATGTCTTGGGGTTGTTCTTCAGATTCAGGATTGGCGCCCCTGGCTATTGCCACCTCTGCCACAGGGCTCACGTCCTTGGGTGCTCCTTTGCCTACTACAGGGCTTGCCTCCTGGCATGTCACCTCTGCTGAGGGGTTCACGTCCCTGGGTATGCCCACACCTCTTACAGGGCTGGTGCCCTGGGACAGGTCTCTGCCCTCAGGCCCAGTGCCTGTGGCTGGCTCTGCAGGGACAGGGCTGGATTGCTGGGGAAAGGGCGTAGGGGCAGCAGTGCTGGGTTTATCCCCCTCTGACCCCGTGGTGGTGCGAGGGTGGCCCTGCCAAGGCACAGCTGATGGAGGTGACTTGGTCTCTATATCTTCCATCTGAAGAACCACTCTGGCACTTTCCTCCTTGTCACTGTCTACTCCAATCCTTCCTGAGAGCCCCTCCATTGCCATGCAGATGTCCGGGCTCCGTACTGGGCTCCCTCTGTACTTCTCAGCCCCATGGTCATCCCCTGCCAGGCTGCACGGCTTCAAGCCTCCCAGTGGGCTTTGCAGATCCGTCTCCTCTGGTCCCGCCTCTTGGGAACATGGTAGGGCTTCATGTCCCTCAGGTGCTTTGTAGCCTGTCAGCCCAGCAGACGCTTTCTCTTGCTGTAGGGGCAGCCCTTCCTCCTGCCCTGAGGTGGGATGTTCCACCAGGCTGGTCCCATCACAGCCTGTCCTGGGCTCCTCCAGTGCTTCTGCAGGTTTTCCAGACACTGCCCTGTGTTGCTGACTTGCTGAGGAAGGGGGTTGGAACCCTTCTGCCGCAGGTGCCGTATGCCCGGATCCCTCCCCAGACGTGTTCACAGTGGCTTCTGGTCTGTCCTCCAAGTCAAGCTGTCTACCAGTCGCTGAGAGCAGGTGTGTTTTACTATCCTTCTCCTCTCCCTCTGGATCTCCTAAGTAGATGATCCTCTGGGTTGCAGAAGTCTCCGAGCTGTCGTCACTAGCCTTCACTTTAATTTTCATGAGCTCTGTGGCTGCAGCCGGCGCTCTGGCCTCCTGCTTCCTGGAGGCTGCGGAAGCACGTTCCTTGGAGATCACCTCGCTTTCCCCCTGGGGAGGATGTGGCCCCAAAATCTTGGCCTTTTGCCTATCTTCAGGCTGCCGACATGGCTTGGGCAAACCTGGCTCACTGGTGGTTGCTTCGTCGCCCTGCTCTTGCAGCTCCTCCTGTGTGCTCTCAGTTGGCAGGCGCTCGGCCTCCTGGCTGGGCTCCCCGCTGGCTTCCTTCTCATAGATCTCATCCTCCCAGACAGACTCAAAATCCTCTGGACTAGCGATCATTTTTGCTCTCGTCCGGGTATCCAGAGCTGCATCTGCTGGCTCTTCCTGGCCAGCCACTTCCATGGCTTTTCCTACTGCCATCTCCACTTTCGATACGCTCACGCTCATTTTCACCTCTGAAGTACCTGCATGTGCTTCTTCTTTCTTGACTCCCAGAGCTTTCTTTAGAGCTACCACTTCCAGCCTAGGAGTTTCTCTCTCTATAAATACCCAATGCTCCGAGCCCTGCATTGCAATTGGAGCAAGAAGAGTTAGCATCAAACATACTTTACCTGACTGCTGATGACTGCTGTCATAAGTAACAGAAAGCTGATCTGCCTTCGACAGGGCTGACTAAATTATTATTATTCATGCAAGAGTTGAGGCAGGGTCTATTCAAAGAGCCTGGCAACTCGCTGATGGAGAGAAGGGACTGAGAATAAGGGGGCTGATGCTGTGACGGGGTCTGAGCCCCTCTGTCCTCTCCAGGGACCATGTTTTGCTCTGGGCGGTGGCTCACTGACATACCTGCAGTATCTGCAGCTTTGTTGGAAGTACGAAGCAGGAGCAATGCTCCCAGCAGACACATTAACATCCATCGGGTCACCTCTCATGAAGCAGGGGAACA